TTACAAACATTTAAGTACTAGGCTGGAGGAGGGTGTGTCTCTTTGTGAGAAATCTGCTAAAAAAAATTGAAATTTTAACTACCTTCCTCCTGTTGCTCTTCCTTAGGGAAAATACACTATCACATCGTTTGTATGGGGGCATGAATGCATGGCACCTGTTGAAATTGTTTAAATAATTAAGATTCCTTATCAGAGTAAGAGATAGGATGCAACTAAGATAGGGTAAGCACAGGGTAAACACTGACTTTTTTAGGAGCAATGGAATCTGCTAGCAAAGTCATTTACTAGCATATGTAAGACAGATCATGTAAAGAAAAACCTTTTGAAACATTTCACTATTTAACCAGTGATAATTGCTTTGGTGAGTTGGATATAGTAAAAAATACAGCCAAAGACCTGTAAGTTTGCCTGCACAGGCAGTAAGATCAACTTTCACAGCACAATATTTCTTGCTTTAATATTACTAATCAGCCTCTTTTATTTTTAAGATGCACATGCACTGCTTTGTATCATGCTTTTCTCAAAAAAAAGCCAACTCTAAAAATTATCAGCACAGCACATGACATTCAGCCATAATCATATTTCATTGGGCCACATGAGCAGATACGATCACTGCACACACAAAAAAATCTGGAGTATTAGAGTTTATGCTTCCCTCTTCCATCTCCCCATGAAAGATATACTTTATCAAGGTCCAATATAAATTTAATGGCTACAGCTATGTAGTTATATTGCAATACATCATATCAATATTTCTAGAAGATAAAATACCTAGAGATTAAATGTATTAAAACATTGGTCTTGGTTTTATACAAGTCATCAGCTTCAAGAATGTGCCCTTAATCCTTTTGAAAGAAGAAGGAGCAGAGGAAGGCAGCACTAAGCAGCAAGCAGGATGTATGTGCAGGTACTGGTGGTGAAGGGTCATCAAAGTTGCCGCAGTATTCATTCATTTTTAATTGCAAACTTTTTAAGAAGGTTGGGTGGCATTCCAGTGATCTTGGAAAATTATATAGGAGCTGAATCATATGAGTCAGTTAGCCTGAGGTCATTTTATGGTCTAGAAAATTTAGATTCAGTAGAAGAAAGCTCTTAAGCCAAATACAGATCTGACAAGAACCACCTAATTAGTTCTCTCACAGATCTTCCCCTTGGAATTCACTTGACTTACTACATAAAGAAAGAAGCATTTTTCATTTCAAGTACTGCAAATCCTGTAAATTCAAAGGTGTCAAAGAAAATTCTGGAACCTATTTCACCTATTTTTGTGCCTTTTCACCTTGGAGCTACAATAGTAGTACAAGTGCTTCACATATGTGAGGAACTGATAAGTATTTTTTTATACTTGCATGAGGAAGCAGGGAAAATCACAGTTCTTCCTACTTATATATTTCAAGAAAACATCTGACAAATGAAAGGAAACACAAACGCATTATTTTCTTTATGGGTAAACACGCCCCTCTGAGTTTTAGGCATAGAGTGAGAGTCCTTGTAGATGGAAACGCTTTATTCACGGGTGATACCACGGTTTCCACACGTGGAACCTTTGTCTTGCATTAGCACAGGAGCACCTTTAACATCCTGACGTCACTCATTTAAAAAGGATAACAGACACGGGACTTCTCTCTTTCAGCTGGTTTAATTAGCCCGACAGGATGCCAGGCCAGACGAGATGGTGCTTCTAGGTTCACTGTACTGTATGCATTTCTGATAAATGGGAAAAGAATAGATGACCTGGCAGAAGGCTCAGACAATAACATGTGATTTACAGGACATGAATGCAGCTACTATAAGATTTATCTGACAGCCTTCTCCGATAGTGGACTGTTGAGTATCCGATGGAATGATTTCTAGTCTAGAAAGTCTGCTACTGAGTAGCCATACACATTATTTATTTATTAGATGTTTTGGGTTGAAACCATTTTTAAATGATGCACTTCACAATGCTCAGCCATAAATTTAGTTTTAAGCCCTGGAAGGGAGGTAGTGTTATTGGAATGTGTGTCAGACTGAATTAGGATGAGCAACACAATGCTTTTATAAAGTGGCCTTGAACGCAACGTCGATTCTTTCAAAAATGATATTAATGTCAAATAAGCAGGAACACTTTGCAGTAATATTAAATGAAGGATTTCTTTACATTTTGATAGATTTATATAAATGTAAGTAAACACACAGACACGTTTCAAAATGTAGCATGTCTGTCAACAAAAACACAGCTGGTTTTGTCTTAGAAGCAGCATTTTGTCTGTTATCTCAAACCACCTGTTTCTCTTTCTACCCTGTGTTAAACATAGAACAATACAACAACATATAAACACAAATCTACAACCCAAAAGCCTTTTTCCATATGCCTGCATATACGAACTTTAAACAAGAGAAGAAATTAACCAGGTGTCACAGATAGTTTCACAGAATGGTATTTTGCTATTTTTTTTAATCACTTCCTGGGAAGCAGCTTTCTTTGTACAGTTTTCTGAAAAAAATTACTTGGGAGGTACTCTTTTTCTATTTTGCACTTCTAAGAAAGATAAAAAAAAAACCACATAATCTAGCCACAAACCCAAATAAACATCAAAAACAATTCAGATGTTTCAGAAAAACAATCCAAGTGCTTACATTATGTATACAATGTTTAACACAAATTCTCAGACAGAGGTTAGCATAAAAAACACCAAAGATATTAATCAGAGCAATCTTTCAATTTCATAAAATGATGGCTGACAAATTTGTGAAGTTTTAAATCAAATTTGCAGATACTTACTTTGTAACTAAGCCACATTATTTATGTGATTAAAAACTAGTTTTTGACCTGATCTTTTGATCTTTGGCACTTCATCCTCTCCATCTCCTCTTAAAAATTAATTAAAATTTTAGCAAAAGGATATCACTTCACTTCCCATCCTATCTTGGGGCGAAAATAAAAAAAATAGAAAAAAAAAAAAGGAAAAAAGACAAGGAGGGGGGGAAATCAATCAAGCTCAACCCCATCTCCTCCCAGTATCTGTAAAATGTCGGCTTGAAATTCAATTTCATATCTCTCAAGCTTTCATGTAGCAAAAGACAGTTCACTTCTTAACAAAATAAATCACTTCTGTGATTGCCATGCTGACCTCTTTGAATTAGGAAAATTCAAAGTGAAAAATGTAATTATCGCCCCGGAACAATCTGTATACATCTGGAGCTAATTTTAGATTCATTTCTCACATCATTTTTCATATTCCGCCAAAAATTACAGCTGCTATGTAACTTTAAAAAGACTTTGAGGTCTTTGTGACTTTATTGGTTTATTTCTACTAGTTCACAAAGAACAACCTCAGTCTGTGCAACTAGCACTGCTAAGCAATCACGATATCCTCAATTTGATTAGATTAGCATTAAGTGGCACTGTGACACATATGACAAATAGACGCATTAGAGCACGTCATTTATTCCTTATCCTTTCCACTTCCCAAAACCAAACAAGTGACGTACAGTACAGAGTACAACATGACTCTAAAAAAAGATTAGACTACCCTACCAAAAAAGATGAAAAGGTCAACCACTAATTATTGATACAAGCAGCATGGATACTGAAAACTAATTTTTTTTTAAAAAGTAATACCAAGTCATCAGGCACGTATTTAATACTCAGATCTATTTTACTTTAACACATTAATGCGTGAACAGTAAAACTCACATATGGATTTCTCGGTAGCAAGGATTCTTTTCTAACTTAAATCAGCAGTAAATTTGTATTCTAGAAGTCATGAACAACATCCACTGCCAGTATTGTTCATGTAAAACGACCATCTCTAAATTCCAAAAGTTCCATAAGGAATATTAAACTCCTCTCAAGGCAAAAATATATTTCCTGAGGAAGGCGGAAAACTAGATGAACAAACTTCTAGATACATTCATTAATAATAAGCTCACTAAAAAACATAACTACTCTTCACTAGTTCATTGTAAAATCTATTAGGTGTAATCTCCAGAAGTAATTGTTCTTATTGCACTTTATTGACAATGCGGACTATCGATTTTTCACACCTTCTATGATTCTTTCATTTGTATTCATGAAATGTCTATCAGCACACTCTAAATAAATTTGGCAATATGGGCACTAAAACGAATAAATCGATGTGAAGAAACATTAATTTTGCATTATCCTTATTCGTCAGGCAAGCAAACCATAAGGGTTGTAAATGAAGGTCAAAGGTTTTGAAATGGGTCAGAACCCTTGACCTCTAGACCAATACCATTCCCATTAAAAAAGGCTATTTTAAAGTTTTAAGTAGGGGAATTTACTACCAGAAAGGTATCATTTTTAAGGCACCTAAAGAAAGGCTCAATAAAAACAGTCTTCCATGTAATTACAAAAAAAGAAAGCAAGAAAGCGAAAAAGGAAATCCAATTAATACAGCATACACAATTTTAAGAAAATTCCTTATGCTCTGGCTCTTTTCTAACACCAGAAACAAGCAATTTTCAATTTCTTAAATATCTAAAATCACTTTGCCTTTAGGAATGTAGAATTCCCTGAACTGCTGACAAACACAGCTGCTTTCTTTAATATTTATCATATTCTTAGTACTTGTCAAATCAATTAAAAATGACAGAGTTTCAAAAGTATTTATCATTCATTTCATAACTTCTACAATAAAAGGAAAAATTCTGTTCAACTCAGAGGATTCAGCATGCCAAGATACAGAAATCGATCTGGTTCTATAGCCATAATATCATATTGTCTCCATTTTAGCTTACAAAAATGACACCATAGAATTATTTGGCCATACCACCATCAAAGTTATATAAATGTTTAACAGTAAGGTGATGCTTAGCATCTTCTCTCTCCAACCAGACACAATTATTATGGGTGTTTTTCTTTATCCTTGCACATAATATTTTACCTTTTAGACATAACCTTACATTTAAAGTATAATTTAAAATAAATTTTTAGGTGTCATTTCCATCATGCTCAAAGACAGCAATTTCAGACAATGTTGTTCCTTAAACCTCACCTGAGAGCAAAGGAGCATCACCAGTTCCACAACTGAACTGCTAGATTTCATGCACACAAGACCTACAAAAGGAAAAAATGGTACACGTAAATGCATGCTTATATGGCACCAGCTGTTAACACAAACTATCTTGAAGTGTACTAGATGAGAAGCATCTTGACAATCAAAAGTAAGCACTTAAAAAGCTCAATTCTGTACTTTATTAAACACAAAATAAAAGTTTGTATGCAAGAGGGAGATCATAAAGCCCATGCCTCGCATCTAAGGATGCAGCTAACAGCAATACTTTACCTCTGCTATTCACAGTTTCATACATGTTTGCATGACAAAACGATCAGAAGTGCGGTTAACATGTGTTATATTAATCCACTGTATCTACATTTTGCTATTTCTTGAAGGATTGGGTCATTATATATGCAGGGAAGGGAAATGGCTTTATGACCTTTGCTTTCTCCATTGCGCGTTCTCCTTTCAGCCCCCAGCTATCAATCAAGTTTCCATTTTGTTTCATGGCAGCAGACATCCCAAACACTCTTATTAGTACTTTGACCCTTAACCCCACACTAAACCTTAGCAGAAGTGCAAGCAACAACCTATTATATATTTTCAATTGTTTATAAACTAATTTTACTACTACTATGATTATTATTATTTGTATTCACATTTTTTTTGTGTGTTTGTCTATAACTGGGTTTTAGGCCTCAAAATTAGGTTTGTGTCTTTATTTTTATCTAGATAGTTCACACACTCCTAACAATTTTCCTGCTATTTTTTTGGTCATCCCACCTAAGAAATACTCATCTCTGTGCATATAACCTATACTAGAGTAAAAATATTTTGAAACCGCATTATATTTTCTTCACTTTCAGAGAAGAAAAAAAACCACTAACTAAATTGGGTGTTTATCTCCCTGGCAAATAAAGCTTTGATTTCAGTCAAATTTAATGAAATCTCAATCTTCATATCAGTAGTCTTCAGTAAAACACTTACCAGTGTTTGATACTCTGTCTTTCTGACAATGTTAATCATATTCAGCACCACATAGAGGATGCCTGTCCCAATCCAGGAAACAAGTAGTCTCAGAAACGGTTTTTTAAAAGGAACTTCTGTTCTCCAGGAAGCAAATAGATCTATCGGTGCACAGTTCACGTGCAAGAGATCAGCTCAAGTTAAGCAACCAGGAGCTTCTAACATGGGAGTGCTTCATTACTGGAACCTGCAACAAGCTCAAGCCCTAATCCAATTCACTGCTTTAACTGGACAAAACCTGCAATTTTCACCCTAAAAACCAGTGACAAAGTAATTTGTATGATATAAACAAATTATGAGAAAATTGAAAAACTGGTGTTTGTGACTAAATTCAGTGTTCCAACAAACATCTTGTTTTAAGTTGTGGACATAAACGCATTGTAGAACTGAGCCTTGTTTTTAAGCAGAAAGAAACCCACCAGTAGAATGAAAACTCAATCATCTTAAGCCAACACCAGGAAGAGCAACAATCGTCGTCATGCACCTGAATCCCCATCTTCCTAGACGTACCAGAGAATTATTCTCAATACTGACTATGTATTCCTCTTACCTGTATGACTTCCAATTAGAAACCAAAAAGACAGAAGCAGATTCACATGCAAGAGGTACATCATCAGATGCTCTGCTGACATATTTCCCAAGTAGCCTTCTGTTACAATATCACAGTAAAAATGCAAGGCGTTTGTACTTCACTTTCTGTACTATTTACTTTACTTTGGATCGAAGCGTTGACCCTGACAGTAAGTTTTCTTTCTAAGGCTCACAAAACACATTTTGCACACCAGCTTCCGTGGGACAGCTGCCTGGAAAAGCTGGAAAACTAAGGAAGAGACAGCAGCAGCTGGACCCACATAACGAGATGTAGGAAGCAACGAGATGTGACACAGGCAAAGAGGTAGCAGAGACGGCAAAGGTGAGAAGGCAATGACAACAACCCCAGAAGACTGAAGACAGAAGGAATAGGAGGCATAAAATCCAATGAACAGTCCTAGGTGGGAAGGCAGTGAGGAAGCTTATAAAGCAGAGCCAGCAGAAAAAAAATTATATAGAAATATCGAATCTCCACGATACAACAAAGCACACGTTAAAAAAATAAAAAATGGAAACTTACTTGTACCTTCTATCAGCAACTCCTGCCCATGGCTGCCCAAAAGAGTCCGAGATAGAAAGGCAGCAAAATCCACAAAAATCTCTCTCAGAAGTGGGGCAGCTTTTTCCAAAGCATGTTCAAGCCTGTCTGTAATACTAGTAGAGAGGTACATATGATTAATAAAAAGAAAAAAAAAAAGTTGCTGAAATTTTTTAGAAAGGAGTATGGTTTTTGGCATTAAGTAATACACACATATAAGGAGGAATCAATAATCTGACACTATGCTTTCCCAAACCTTCTTTAGGTATTGAGGTATTGAACATCAGCAAAACAACATTCTTAAGTGATGTGGAATTAAAATATCAACTGTAATATCAAAAATGCAAGCCACAGCACAGCTGTTCAGATGTTCAATTAAAGAAGTTACCTCATATTTGAAGCAGAATCCTCAGGCACTGAAGAAACCGTAGGGACAGATGGCAATTTTGCATTAGATGATCCCTTTCCTAGAAGAGAAAAAAAAAAATTATATAAGAAAACATGTCAGGGGTTAGAAAAACAGACCAGAAACTAAAGACTCAAGCTCAATCTCTGAGAAACCATGGTTTTCAAGTGTGTTTGAGGACTAGGTAAGATCTTTCACCTGTTTGTACCTCAAACTTATTTGATGGCAAGACTCCTATCTACTTACATTCACATTTACCATGTGTACCATGACAAAATTTTTGAATTTTTCTTTAGCACAAAAAGAAAGTAATTCAAGACAGCCTTACAGTCTGCTTTCTGAAGGAAGTAAGGCTAGACTGCAATGTTTCCTTCTGGCCTTACAAGCCATAATTCTCTCTGAACAATTTTAAGAACACTTACAACCTTAAGCAGTGAATGCAAATAATGTCTCACACTCTTAATAGTCCTGTAGCATACTAATAGATACTAACAGAACTAATATGTACTAATATAAAGACCAATGGTAATGTTTTAAAGCATCTCTTCCGGTTACTGGAAGTGATCATCTAATTTCAAGTAACTTGCAAAGAAAAGCCTTATTTTTTTGTCTATAACATGCTTGTGTCAAAATGAAGCAGAATACAAAATGAGTGGACATTTTCAACAGCCTGGCTGAAATTTTTGTAACATTGGGACTACAACAAAGGCAGCTACGATAAAATTCTCTTTTGCACTGCCAGCATCATTAGCATGATGGCAGTGGTATAACCTCATTTATGAGTTATTAACTTTGCCACATCAATTATTCAAAGGCTGATAGGGAAGACTGGGTCATCTACGTATCCTACACTTACCAAAAAAAAAAAAAAAGCAATTGTGGTATGTCAAATTGACACTACATGGCTCTCATCAGCAGAGTAGGAATCCGTAAATACTAAATTCTGCTGTTCAGTATATAAAGAGAAATACAACTTCCATACTGCAGTATGGATTGGTATTAGCAATGATGAAGAGGAGGTAGGGCAAGACAGCCAGAGATTTCACAGATATTTGCTGCCAGGATAGGAATAGTGACTCACAAATCTTGCACTGCATTCCAAACTATAGAGAGGAATGAATCTTAGCAGACAGATTTCTGTGCATTTCCCAGGAGCACGACTGCTTCTAGTCCATCTGCAATCCTATCTCTTTCCAGCCTTAGACCCTGTCCTATTCTCTTTCCTCTCACCTCGCCAGTCTCAGATTCTTATGCTGCTGGGGGAAAAAAAAAAAAAAAAAGCAGCATGAAAGAAAAGAGTTTAATCATTTCAGTTCTCACATTCACTAAGGCAAAGACATGAGCCTTCTCAGAACTGTACAGAAAAATTCCTCATCGTCCCACCTATATTGGAGTGAGCTCAGTCAAATGTAACCTGTCTGGCAATCAGCTGCCGAGATCTCAAAGTGTCTACCAAAATGTGTCAATTGCAACTTTTCAAAGTATTTCCACTTGACTGAAGTGGAACAGATTCGTAAAAAGATGGCAAAAACAGATCCCTGAGATACTGAGTTTATTTCTCCTGTCAGATTTCAAACTTCTGCTCCAAAACACTGATATACAGAGCCTTCCCCCAGAAATGTTGGTTGTACGTGGGCATTTATTTTTTTCCCCTACCTGGGGAAGATGCTTTTCTCTAATCTTGTTTCAAAGGCAGCACAGAAACTAATAAACTAATACATCAAAATGGTGAAAAGTTCTGTTCTTAATTTTTCTCCTTTCTTCATAGGTAGGAGATATCTTTGAGAATGTGATTCACTTACATATTTCATAAATTCAACATGAAGCTCTTATTTTGACTTTTGCATGGGACGATGGGGTCAGAACGACAAGAACATACGAAACATAAGGGTTAGCTGAAAGCAAGGCAGAATCTGAATCTTCTGGACACTGTTTCGTAAATAATTTATCTAATAAACAAAAATCAAATGTGTATTTCTGAAACTTTCAATGGGGATCCTTAGATTTTCTAAGTATTTTCAGTATTTTCATTGACTGAATTTCATTTTTTTAAGCTCTTGACACTGTCCCACATGACATCCTTGTCTCTAAAATGGAGAGACACAGATTTGACAGATGGACCACTCAGTGGATAAAGAACTGGCTGGAAGGTCGCACTCAAAGAGTTGGGGTCAATGGCTCAATGTCCACATGGAGACCAGTGACAAGTGGAGTTCCTCAGGGGTCTGTTCTGGGTCCAGTGCTGTTCAACATCTTTGTCAGCGACATGGATGACAGCACTGAGTGCACCCTCAGTAAGTTTGCCGACGACACCAAGCTGTGTGGTGCTGTGGACTCACTTGAGGGAAGAGATGCCGTCCAGAGGGACCTTGACAGGCTTGAGAAATGGGCCAGTGCAAACTGCATGAGCCTCAGCGAGTCAAAATGCAAGGTCCTGCACCTGGGCCGGGCTAATCCCAGGCACAAATACAAACTGGGCACAGAGTGGATTGAAAGTGGCCCTGAAGAGAAGGATTTAGGAGTGTTGATAGACGAGAAGCTCAACATGAGCCGGCAGTGCGCTCATGCAGCCCAGAAGGCCAACCGCATCCTGGGATGTATCAAGAGAAGCGTGGTCAGCAGGTCAAGAGAGGTGATTCTCCCCCTTTACTCTGCTCTTGTGAGACCCCACCTCGAATACTGCGTTCAGGTCTGGTGTCCCCAGCGTAAGAGGTACATAGATCTGTTGGAGCATGTTCAGAGGAGGGCCACAAAGATGATCCAAGGGCTGGAGCACCTCTGCTGCGAGGACAGACTGCGGGAGCAGAGACTGTTCAGTCTTGAAAAGAGAAGACTTCGGGAGGACCTAATAGCTGCCTTCCAATACCTGAAGGGAACCTACAGGAAGGCTGGGGAGGGACTTTTTACAAGAGTGTCCACTGACAGGACAAGGGGAAATGGGTTTAAGTTGAAGGAGAGTAGATTTAGATTAGACCTTAGGAAGAAGTTCTTCAGTACGAGGGCGGCAAGACTTTGGAATAAATTGCCCAGAGATGTTGTGGCTGGCCCTTCCCTGGAGGGGTTCAAGGCCAAGCTGGAGAGAGCCTTGAGTAGCCTGATCTAGTTGAGAGGTGTCCCTGCCCATGACAGGGAGGTTGGACTAGATGATCTCTAAGGTCCCTTCCAGCCTAGGCCGCTCTATGATTCTATGATTCTAATTTAAAATAGTCAAACTACCAAGAAGTATTTTGGGTATTCCCATAGGAAAAGTAGTCAAACGACGTGCCAAAAATTAGAACGGAACCTTCTGTACAGAGAAACAGAACAAAGCCCACAGAATGCAAAAAGCAATATGACTCAGGGGTTCCAAAGCAGAATGCACATACACTGCCTGTTGGAATAATGCTTTAAAGCAATTATTTCATTTGCCTGGTAAAATTTATATTTAAATAATTTCACTAGAATTACCAGCTTTCTCCCTAGAGCTCAACATGCATACTCTCTTTAAACAAGCCCCTCTAACTTGAAAATATTCTTAGGTCCACATGCTCAGTAGTGGACTTCAGCCCACACACTATCCATAAGGGGAAACTAGCACACTGATCTGAGTAGTTCAGAATGCAAAACCAAAATGCCACCCTGAAGCCTTCAAAACAAGAAAGTCCTCCCAAGGTGCAGATTGCACATGTAGAACGTCTTGTTATGTAAATGCTTGCACGCTTTTTATAATATATAAAACCTGTAACCAGTAATCCAGTAGTTATTGGGTGTGCTAGAAAGTCAAAAGTATATACAACTAAACTCTCATCTTATTAAATGCACGGCAAAATCAAGAATTCCTTTATCAGTAAAAGTCAGACTTTCAGTGCAGCATAGTAGCATGAGTTTTATGGTTAAATGAGATGAAAATAATTCAGTGTAATATTCAGACCACAAGCAAAACAACTGAGGGGAAAAACAGAAACAAAAATTAAAGGGAAACATAGGCAAGGACAATGAAAGTGTATATTAGCCACCATGAGACTAATGAAGAGACATCCACTCAATTTGGCATAATTTTTTTGGTTGTTTGTTTTATTTTGTAGAACATGGGTTTTTTGTTTGGTCTTCTGTTTTTATACACAATGGCACCAGTAAAAATGGTTAGAGGCGGAGGTAAAGGAAATCACTGACAACATATAGGACATGTTTTTTTTCTTCTTCTAGAAATCAAAACAAATGGTGCATTAGGTATAATGTAAAACTATGAAGATTTAAGCTAAAATCAACTTTTAAATATAGACATTACAGAATAAGCACTAATAATTTGAATTTGTCGACAGCATAAGGCAGGCATCTATATAAACTGATATTCTTTTTGAAGATTATATAAGGATATTTATGGCCTGAATTTCTTCATGCTTATCATTGCCTAAATCCACATTCCAAACTCAGATACATTTCACTAAAACGGGTGAATCTCAGATTTATTACATCTGAGAATTTCAGTGGTTTTTTAGACAGGATTAGTCATAGTGTTTTTTGCATTCAAATTTTGTTCTGCGGAAGTAACTTTTTTGGCTTTATTTAACTCAGAAGTGGCTTTTTATTCTATTATTTTTTCTGCCTTTAGTAAAAAAAGTGAAAATACTTCAGTAGCATATTTTCATCCACAGCACACATGTGGGTAAGTGCAGTAGCTACTTCAAACATGTGGAACTAAACTGACTTATCTCTTCCTTACCCTTTCACTGATAAACTGGCTCCTTCAAACTGACAGTTTTACAGACATTTGCAAGAACATAAAAGAAAATGCAAATAGATCATCTGTCTAGCACCCTTACAGTGAAACCTTATTGTTTATTCAAGGTCCCCAAGGGTCTAAACAAATAATGTCTCTAGCAATAAAATACTGTTAAAGAAACTCCTTGTCCGATATCCTTATGCTTTTGCCTATACAGTTACAAAGTACACTTTACTCTGGGAGGACGGAGATGAGGTAAAAAAACAACAACGGAGAGCTGAATTAAATAACCGTATCTCCTAATTTTGGACAACAGGCCTACCATACACAAATACACTGATGTCCTTTATGAAAGGAGTATCTAGTAAAATAATGAGATCATTCAAAAATACACTTCCAGGGCTGGAAGTATATAAGGCACGACTACAATAAAAGGTTTTATAAGATACTATAAGGGATCTGATAAATAAACACATCTGCAGGTTAAACCATAACAGATTGCATCAAACAATGGTGCACTCTCTCACGAGAAGCTGCTTTAAAATGGTTTTTATACTGAAAAGATATTAAGTAATTTCCATTGCACATCCTTAGCATTCAAGATTTTTAAAAGTGTCACTCTGCCTGGGTAAATAGCCTTCAACTACTGTCACTGTAAAGCTAGAATTCTCCTTGAAATAGTTACTACAACTCAGTGAGTTTCTTGAAATGCCTCTGTACCAATGGTAACCTCACTTCACATTCATTTTTCTTACTTTAGCTTGTCTCCTGCTAGTTAATTTTATTGTGAGACTTCAAGGTTATTTTCAGCTATGTGTAAAAAAACCAAATCAATGAATACTATTCTTCTTTGCAAAACAAGCCAATTGTGTGAAAAAAATTACATTTTCTTATGTAGAGTACTAGAATTCAGAAGTCACAACTTTTTTATTTTTTTAATCTTGTCTTCCTGCTTATTCCCACATTTCTTTCAAGCATCCACCTCCTTTTTCACCTCAGCCTTTCAACGTGGCCATTTCCATGACTTCACACTTTGGGGAACAGCCCGCATCTGTCTCGGAGAAGCAAAAATACTGCTGGCAAATCTAAGTGGTTCTGGGGCAAACCAAGTGAAACTCCAAAGAACTTCAAGCAAGAGGGAGAGGAGGAGGCAGGCAACAGAAATCAAGCGGAACTACGCTCAGATTGTCAATAAGGACAAGATGCAATTCACTCCTGCCTCCTACAGACTTCTCATACTTCCTTGTTATAAAAAAAATTATATTTGAACAACCATTTGCAAACTGAATAGTGAAAGCGTCAAAATTGCTTTATTTAGAGAGAAGCACTAATAAAAAGTATGTGAAATCCTTCAAGAGCATCAGAGAAAACAGTGGGAGTGCAAGCTGCAGAACAGTTCAGAGAAGTTCACGCCACTTCAGAACACTACAACTTTAGTCAAAATACTTAAAAGGAAAACTAAGCGACAAACAAAAATACAAACAGCTCAGGCAACTCCACCAAGTCCTCCCTATCCAAACGTTAGTCCTGCCTTTCCAACAGCCCATCCTGGATACAGCCCATGTAAAATCTCAGTATCAACTCTGAAATGATGAAAAAAATTGTGTAAATTCCTTCTCCTTAGATTATTACTAGTAAATGCGCTCTTTTGCTCAATACCACCCTGTGTAAGAGACAAATGATTGGCCCAACACAGACCTTGAAGGGGCTTTATTTTCTCTGTTCACTTCCAAGATCTTTCCAACAACTGGGGTAGCAATTTCAGCAGATCAAAAACCCAAGTGACAGGAAAGTTTAGACCACAAAGGGCATGTTTGATTCCAGAAAGGCTTTTCGCGCCATGAAATACTCTGCGGTTTGAAGGAGAAAAGGTAAAGAAACTCCTCTTGCAAAAACGCCAGGCTGTCTGGAGGCCAAAACATGTTTTCACCCTCTTTCGAAGTATCACAGGAACAGGGTGAGCTTAGACAGTTATCTTTCCAACTTGTCAACACTTCTTCTTTGGTAGGCCAGGACATGTCGCATCCACTTGGTATGAGCTTAGGACAATCTTAAGGGTCATATATCTGAGATATTCACAGACCTTGAGCTACAGGTAGGATGCAAACTTCAGGAAAAAATATCAGGAAGGAGGTTCATGAATTCTGAGCACACGCAAATGGCAACAGAGGCATCTGGGACTTATTTCAACGTAGATCCTACCTTGACTGAGCAATTTGACATCACATCTACAGGTGGAGGATGCTCACAGACTACATAGAACTTATTCCCAAATCATGTGTACACGTTACAACTAAAACACAATCACTTGCCGTTTAATTCCATTTCAATGCCTGTATCTCCCTTTCATCTCTGTTTTGGAGTAAGTTGACTCAAGTCTCCACAGTAAAGCATTATATGTTATTATATAAAGATTCTGTCTGCCTAATTAGTTTTTAACATGTATCCAAAAAGTGCGTACAAAATTAATTTTAAAAAGTTCTCTGACTTCAGAAAAAAACAGTCGAAATTAGCACTGTGAAAAAAGCACAAAATTTATATTGACCACATAAACTACTAGTCTCAGAACCTTTTTTAAAAGGATTGAAGTATTTTCTTAATTAAAACAGTAAAGAGACTTACACCAAACGTTAACCAAAAAATGAAAACAATGTATTGTTTCTCTGCCGTCTGAAGATAAAAATTAGTGAAAGAACATGTGATTTGAACACAAAGGAAAATCATACGTATTATATCTCGGTTTTATAGGAAGCTCGTTTATTGCTACTTTTATCCTCAAAAGAAAAGTTAAAGGCCTCATACCGAACTTTACTTCAAACTGAAATGTGTGTAATTTATACGAGCAACATAAGTGTAAACCACTTCAACTGTGCAAAATTTTTGTTTCCATGCCAGTATTTCACTGGGGGAAAAAAGAAATAGTCTTATGTTTTAATCTGAGGCATGCTTTCATTTATCCCAATACCTTTTCTTTCAATTAAGTAGATTGCCAGCCTAAACATGTCTACTATTTTTAATCCTGATTAGTTTCTTTTTATGCATATCAGTTCAGATTATATGTCCAATTTTTGCCAAAACTCCCAGACATGTTGGAAGTCACACAGTTACAAACTACATCAGTATTGTTTATTGTCTGGATTTCTTATACATTCTACAGGCCTAGGAGCACTTATTTTTTTCTCCTATATGTTCTTAAAAGATCGACCAAATCTGAAAATCAGTGTTCATGTGTTTTGTTTCTATTTAAAGGAAGTGAAAACTGACATTGTAATCCTTTTAATTAAGCAACTGTAATAATTAAGCCCATATCTAATATGGGTAAACCCATTAGAAGTTCACAAATTAGCCATTATTTTAATCAATTTCAATGTAGGTAAGGTTTTATTACTTTTAAAACAAGTTAGCTGCTCAGAGACAATTTTCCCCAAAGAACTACGACATTTTTAAAGACTTTCCTAGACCATACATTACTCTGAGACTCATATACTGCTACCTCCTGCAATTTCAGTTACAAAATGGATTCCTCCTTTTGCAAAGAACAAGAATATACTAGATCTGAATAGGTTTTCTTCCTCCCTTTATCATGGCTGGAACAAAACCTTCTTGATTTTCCCAAGAAAAGCAACATGAGATTGAAGATGGCAACAAATATCTTCCAAGCACACAAATACTAGAGGACATGACAACAAATCACATTCCTCTTCTTCAGTCTTTGCAGTTTGGATGTAAATTCATAAAACCAGGAAGCAAGAAACTCAAACATTGAAAAGAGACACCAATAATCAGGCATAGTTTGAGATTTCCTTAATTAGGACACAAATCAGTTCTCAGTCTTGATGTTAAACTTCATGTGCAGAAAAAATTGTGAGATCTTACACAGCCTTGTGACTTAAACGTGGCTAAGCAGAAAAGCATGCCTTTGACACAGCATATAAGGTTAAACATCATTTATCTCATACTGAATGACCAGAGAGACTGAGGGTTCAAAGGACCACTTGCTTATAAACAACCTACTCAATTTTGTCCCCACTGAAAAAACTGTCCAAAGCAATTAGTTCAGCATCAACACTGAATGTGACCTCAGGCTAAAACTATTGGAAACACTTGTATATTATTTTCAGTCCTGCTTAGCACTAGCACATACAGTCTTGGACAAACACCCTACAATTTACAAATAAGAGGATATTTTCATAATACGAAGTTTGCAACATAAAGTAGTCTAAATATAATGTATTTATCCTAAATAAAAATCCTTTACACAACCCGTTGAGAAATCTTGAAATGATGGCAAATATTGCTCAGACATTTGCATTTGTTCTGCTACATGAAGGCAAGAGGAGAAACCCAACAAAAGTTTAGCAAAGCTTTTTTTCTTTTAAATACAACACTACTTCTTTTTTAAAAAAAGTATTTATAAACAGGTTATTTTTAATATCTGTGTAGCTACAGAATCACAACTAGGAATAAAATAATAATGTGTGAGATAAACTCTCAGAAAAGATCCAAAAGGATGAATTCTTATATTCATGAAACCCTATAATGTCACTCACAATTGATCCAGTTTAACCTAGAGTCACATCTATTTTCCTGTAAAGTGTCTGTTACTGGTCTTTGTTAGAGGCACAGATACTGAATGCCAGCCTGCAAGCTGCTATGTGAGGGCATATGACAAAGATACAAAGTAGTGTGCAGGATACAAAGGTCTCAGAGGCCTTTCGTCTGACTTAATAATTTAGGATGTTATACAACATACACTCCAGTAGGAAAAAAAATATATAAAAAATAAAGTGTAGAACACCATCTTCCCAGATTATTGTCACATTTTCTCCTAAGAAAATACAGTCAGCAATAAGTATTGATACTCTTAGTACAAGCAAGACACATATAGAGACAGAGTATCAATGGAAGGGAACTGATAACTTAATGTCTGAAAAACAATTGTTCTCACAGTATTCAGAGATATGGATAACTACTGAAAAACACTTCACTGTCACAAAACAAAACACATGTAACAAACTTGTTCATTCATATTCAGAGTGAATGATGAGGAACAGACAAGCAAGAGAAGAAGAGTTGGCATTTGTTTAATTTACCCTTACTCACCAGGAGATTCTCCTGACAAATCTGGGGCTTGGGCCGACTCTGCAGAGGAAACCACACTGACAGCATTTGTAGGAGTACCCACGGCAACTGCAGAAGAGGAAATGGTTGATTTCTTCGGTGGTACAACGACACTCCTAGATGAGGACAAAAAGTTAGTGAACAACACAGAATGAAGATTCTCACATCAGGATTCTTGTTTACACATCTAGCACACATGCTGCTGTATCCTGCAAAAGCAGCATTCCTTTCCTGTTTTCTTTTTCCATCGTCTTCGGCAATCCACCTTAACCTAAAGGACGCTTCATCCTTGTTTGATTTTTATGGTACACTTTAATATGTCATCTGCTTCAAAAAAATCCCTGACATACAAGCACACAGTTAGAACACTGGTAGGGTAAGTGACCCACAGGTAGGTTTTACTTTTCACTCCAGTTTCACCAAGATTTGGTTTTAAACTTCAGGCAACCACTTACAAAAGATATCGCACTATTCAAAATGAAAACATTAAGATAAATTATCAATGCTGAAGGTTGCCTTGACAGCATACTACTTTTGGTATACTAATGCAGAACAGAAGACTAACTGAAGAAGGATATTCTACAGGTAAAAACATACTAACACATACCCGTGTGCACGTAAAAAAACTCCCACATCTTAAAAATAAGGCTAACGCGTGAATATGAGTATATCTTGTCAATCAAGTTTTACTTATATAACAAATCAACACATTCTTTGGAGTTGAAGAGAGAAGCTCCATCTTTTACCCAAGTTAAATGTCAGGCCTTATAGTCAGCGTTAAAGATTACGCAAGAGGAAAAGATGCAAAGTGACAAGTTAGTCACAGAGATTTATCTCACATGTTACTCAGACATCTATTTATGCTATAGCGATTTCAATTAAATTGTAGTACTTTATTCCAAATACCTAAAAGGCCTTGTTAAGCATACGTTAAAGGCATTTTTAATTGCAAGTTAGCACCATAAACATGCAAAATTCCAGCTAATGAGGTAAAGAGTACAGCTGATATATAATGCACTCCCACAGCAGCGCTTATTTTTAATTACCTGGTGTTAACCGTAAGCCGAAAGTCTTCAACATTCAATTTATTTAATCACATCTTTTGTTGACAGTACTATAGCTACACACTAAAAGTATTCCCTTAACAGCTTTAAAATATTCATTTTCTAAATAAAGTAACTTAAAAGCTTGACCCAAATGCAGGTGCGATAATAACAACCAAAGAGGTTCTATCAAATATTTCTAAAATAGTTCTTCCCAGAATGGGAAAAAAGAGAACGGTATTTCACTTCATTCTTCAGTCCAAAGGATGTCACAGACACTGGACCATGTTACTGATTAAATCCACTCTCCTTAATGGCAAGAGCAGGCAGGGACCATACTTGGAGGCATTACATGTCATATCATTATAGGGGTGACTGCTAATGTTAACTATATACTAAAAAAATAAAAGTGACAACACCTGAGCCCCCAGTCAGGATGTTGGGTCTAAACCATGAATTTTGCTTATACATTCGAATCAGTTTCTCTGAAACGTGAATAATGCTCTAAAAAATGCATATATTTAGACCATCTTCTAAACTATAGCCTCATTAACAACTAATTTTGTGTCACCCAGGTATAAGAAGGGGATCTCTTACTCAAGATTTTGTGACATTCACTGTCTGAGACCTATTTCTACTATTCTATAACACACATTCAAATACTTGGAAGTGACTGGGAAATTAACATATGTTTATGGAGTACAAGATGCACTCACACATAATAATCCTTCAGACATTTCTCCAACATTCATAATCCAGCACTGAAGCCCAGACACATTTCTCCAGAGATTTTACTCTTTTACTTTATAGCTAACTAATTCAACAAACACTGATTAATAATATGAAACCCAAATTGTACAGACTATTATAAATATGTGTCTGTTCATGTGGAGTCAGTGCATGAGCTGGAAATATTTCTTGGCACACCCACCACCAAATTATCCATTTGCTGCTAAGGAATACACACACAATTACAGTAGATGCAAGGTGATATGGGAGAATATTCAATGACATTTTTGTGCACACTTAGATGGCAATTGTGCACATATAAAAAGCATCTGCTCAAAACATATAATTCATGCAATTAATTTTAAATTGGAAAACACCAAACTACCTTGATGTTGAAAACGTATCTTCCAGAGAAGTTTCAGTTTCTTAGTCTTAAAGTCAATCAGAATTCTCCTAAAACATCGAGTCAGAATGGTTGTGTCCTCTGAATGCTACTGATCCTACTCTCTGACTTTACTAAGAGACCCAGAAACTACAAAACAGGTGGTATATCAAAGGCAAGCCAGATCCACACCTTAAAAAAAAAATTACACGTAAATGACTGAAATTTGACTAGTTTCATAGAAGTCTGCCCCCTTTCAGGTGAAAATACATAAATGAACATGCTGGAAGGATCAAGGGGGAATTTTAGAACTGGAGTAATTTTTAGCACTATGAGTAAAAGCTGCTCCCAGGGCAGGGGACAGTCCTGGAGCTGCGTAGGAGCAGGCAGGGAAGTATGTGTGCAGATGGAGTTGTTACCTTCACGCTGCTCATCTGCCACCGACAATGAGCAGAGACAAAAGACATTTTCTCTGCTGTTTCTGACACAACACTACGTATTATCATTCCCTCCTGTAAACTTCTACTGACCTTCAGCGTGCTTAAGTGCAGTTGCACTGAGGGAGTAGCTTCAGCAAGTTGCCAGACTCTCTACAGCTACCCAAAGAGACAAACATTCAAGCAAAGGAATTAAGACTTTTTTTCCCCCAGGCTGTGACAGGCAGCAATAAATGACCAGAATAGTTTCTTTCTGCTTTTTAACATCTTTTGTATACATTCTCACCTTCAAATCTGTGGAGGTTTGGGAATATAAGTACAGCTGCTACTCTCACTCAGAAACTTACTTCCCATGAAGCACATAAAAGAATTATGTCCTAACATTTCAATTATAATTTTCAGTATCTAGCAGTGGCATTCAACTTAAGGAAGATACTCCAACTACTAGTATCAGGAATATACAGCTGAAAAGCAGAGCTGTTAGCAGGCTTTCTTTTTTTCAGTTATCCAGTATTACTCCTTTTGCTGTGATTCAAGGATTAAAAATAAGTACAGGTTTCAGACTTTGAGATACAGAACTTATAATGCCTTATAAGCAGTATTCCAGAAACAGTCACCACATGCTTTGAGCAAGAGACATCAACTCCCACAAAGTCTTCTGAGAAACTTTGGTTGTTTGTCGTATCCCATTTTTTAAAAACTTTTTTTGCTTTTAGCTAAAAAATAACAATAATGGTCATAGCAGCCATAATTAAATCATCATCGTAATCTACTTTATAAATTCTATGGTAATTCCTATATTTAAAGGTCATGTTAGAGTCTAGTCCCTTCTGTTACCAGCTTGCTTGAGAATTCAGAGTGTTCCTGATACACCACAGCCAAGTACTTCTGCTGTGCTCTATAACTATTGAGCAAGATAAAAGGCAACAGTACAGTGGCTGGAGAAACTGCTGCTTCACATTAAAAAATCTGAACCTTGGAAGAAAACAGAGGCTGTGTACAACTCCCCATAAAGCTGTTTGCTAGCCTCAGACTAGTTTTGAACAAAATTTATTTTAGATAGTGATCTTCAACAGTCAACCAAAATTATTCCCATTTTTCCCAGCCGAAATAAAATAAACAGTATTTCTAGTGAGGAAAGAAGGTCCTTTTTCCTGACAGCTGTGTCAATCGGAAGCACACAGCCAAAAGCAGCACTGGATATTGTCCAAAAAACGTGACGTAAAGAAACCTCAATCCCTGAATGTACTTTCTTCTCTGTTTTTTGGCCAGTTGTCACAACCTCCTGATTCAAAAAAATCCTTAAAATAGCTCAAGAACAACAAGCCAAAACACCGAAGTATCTTAACATAATTACTTTATAGTTATGCATCGTGTCATTATTTGTAATGTAATGTTTAGCACTGTGTATGTCTTCCCTGTCACAGTGGTGCAAGTGACCTACTTACAGTTTCAGGATTTGTTTTAAAAGATTCCATTTCCAGGCCTTCCTCAAGGTGTGAAAGTACACCCACAGATTCATATTTGCCACATACACAAAAGGAAATTACGATATTCTAAGCATAAATATCGGTCATGTGTCTTTATTTACATTCCGAAATTCCTACTCATTTCTTCCTTTGTGTATTTCTCTGAGTATTTAGCTGGAAATGCAACTGTGTTCAAACAGAAATATTTGCTATTAACCATCAATGTTCATTTGTGTTCTTCTATCAAAAGATTATTTAAATAGTAATATAAGAAAAATGAATGCAACTGGCAGAAAGAATGTATGAGACAATGGAAACTCAAGATTAAATTCTGTAGTAAAACTATGTGGAAAACATGGAGCATTTAGCACATTATCAATTCAGGTAAACTTGTCAGAGAAGCTTCTTAAAAATTAATGTGCTTTCAACTTCTTTCAAGTGACAGGGCACTTGTTTTTAAAGAGCCCACAGAAGACAATCCTTTTTGTAGCTAAACTGACAAGCATTTCTTAAAATATTGCTAAACACATGAATAAAATATTCATCAGTAAGTGGCCTTATAGTATATTTACTCAGATCTACAAAAATAATGTATTTTAAAAAACACCTGTAATCATGTATTAATTTCATCAGAATAACAATCTACATTAAGCAACCTCACACTTGGGTAGAGACAGAACCCATCAATACTCCTTAACATTTGCATTATCACACCATTTCAGTTAAGTCTGTACTTTTTGGGTTACATTTGTATATTATAACATCCATTATCATGGTATTCAGATAGAGTAGAAACAAAATAAACTAGAAAAATCGCACAAAAAATATTCTTATGGTACATTTCAAGCAGACCTCAAGCACTACAGTAAAAATCATTGTTCAGTTGCCTCATTTACATGACTATATTAGAAGTATGCCTTTTTTAAGGTAAAATATAATATTTGAGGTTTAAAGTAGGAATTTACAGCACGTGAACTGATAAACCTAAGTCAGGCATAGTGAGAACTAGCCACCATAAATACCCTTAGCCAGAAGGTCAGTGTGTTATTAGTCCCA